CCCCAAAACCCCAAAACCCCAGAATATAAAATTTTGTATAAATTGATAAATTTAGGATTTAAATATAAAATTAAAGTTAAAGTTAAATAAACAAGATACATAAATTATGTCCAACATTCAGTCAACTTAATAGAGTTAATAGCCTTCAGAGCTTTAGAAAAATATCAACGAAACAGAGCTAGAAAGAGACAGAGCTCTAATTGATCTCTCGAGGAAACAAAATATTTAAGACACTCAACCTGATTTATCAAGAGAGAAAACCCTTTCAAATCTCGAAGGTCTTGACAAGTAGCGATAATTCAGAGATATTAGTCAAGGCACTTAAGAGACTTTTAATTAAACTACGTTAGGGGTACCTCAACATTAAACTTTGGATTCTAAAGAGCAAGATTTTAGACAAAGTGAGGAATTCTAGCATATGAATGCAGGAGAAAGGAAACTTTACGAATAGTAATTACAGTAGAAGCGTGATGCAGCTTATTATGATATTAAAAGACAAGAAGCAGTAGAGATTCCTAGATAAGAAAAGCATGAGGCCAGAATGCTCTAGAAGAAAGAGGAAGAACTCAATAGACTCATGAGGTAAAAAGAGTAATAATCCAAAGAAAAGACTGGAGAGGTATAGGTAGAGAAGGATAAGGAACGTATTGTTACTATGGATTAAGATACAGAAGTGAAGCCTATTAGGTTCAGTGATCCCCTCTAATAGAGGCTTGAGAAAAGAGATCCAAAAGAGGACCGATTGAAAGAATCTAATGCAGTCTCATTAAATGCAAACCTCCCTCAATAGGAATAGAAGAATTTAAGCAAAGAGTTGCTTGAGAAATAGTCAAATGTAAAGCAAGGTGAATTCGCTAGCAATAAAAGATTTGAGAACCTAGCATGAATGTAGAATTAATGAATCTAAATGTTTGGAATCATTATCAAGATAGAATATGATTATTTTGAGATTGATTAAAGATTTTGATTTTAATTACTATTCTAATTTTAGTAGATTTAATAGATTTTACATTAACATTTCTTGACATAAATTATTAACTTAAAATCAATTAACCATAAAGCCACCAACAATAACAACCATGGATAAAGAACTAATAGCCAAGAGACTTAAGGAAGCTGAATAACAAAGGAAGCAGGAGTCTGAATTTGATTAGTATCAACACCAAGCCAATATTCAGCCAGAAGCTGAATCACATCAGAGAGAGAAGGGCCATATATCAAAGAAAATGACTGACTCTCCCTCTCACCACGAAAACAGGCAAATATTCCACAAAGAGCATCATAAACCCATTGAAAGTGTGATCAAGAACATCGAGAAGAAGAAATCTGAGAAAGAGTACGAAATATTGACTCCTTCTTTTAAATGAAGCTGGCACCAATTCTGAGAGTATTTATTTTTCTATTAGTGCAAGACTGAGTTCAAATGAGACTTTTAATTTACTAATGATTCATGATTTATTCTAATAGCACTGATATTCTATTCAATGAGTCTTGGGGTTTTGGGGTTTTGGGGTTTTGGGG